TCACGCCCCTTTTTTTCTGGCTACTGCGTACGTTGGGAGGCTATCTTGCTCAAATCGATCACCTCTCTCGCTGCTGACACAAATTATTCTGAACTTTTTCGTAGTGTCCACTGAAGTAAAGAGAAAATACAAGCATATGAAGAAGCCTATTTATAAGATCTTCATTTGAAGAACAACCCCTGAAAAAAACCGCGCTCCATTCAACTTTTGTGGCTGACTGCAATCTTCAGATCGCAGGGGCTTTTTTTCCTTATTTTACTAGTGATTTCCTGCTTATTGTATTAGACATTCAGAAAAACTCAAGGAAGTCATCGATTGATGTTTTCCTACCCTTTTGCTTTATTTTATAAATTCATCGAGTAGGCGTTTGGCCGTTTTGCACATAGGAAGTAACTGCTAGGAATTCAATATTTTGGTTAAGATTGAAATCTCTCGTAGTGATTATGATCTCTTATTTGAACAATTTCATATCGACCGTCGATTCCGTAGGTATGAGAACAAAAGAAATGGCTCACGTCTGTCTTATCACTGCTTATCAGTCGCAGGGTGTCTTACCACATCAAAAAGGTAATGATGAAACCCTGAGCAACATCACCCGAATTTCTCGAAGGGATTCAAGTTGGAAAGGCTTCCACCTGTGAATTTTTATCTTTAAACTGCAAAACTAAATGGATAGGCTTTTTGTCCTTGTCCATAATCGCAATACCGAAAAAGGTAAGATTATTTTGAAAAAACTGCGATGTCGGCTGTGAGCCTCCATAGGTGGCCTTTTTCCAGTCCTGTGCGCGTATTGTAAGGGCTAGGACAGCTTTACTGGTATTTTATGATCGCTTGAACTGGATCAATTCCTACAAATTACCCATCTACGAATAAGTTTTTCGAGTGGAAGTAGTAATATAAATATGTTTCTTACTTTTTGAGGACTTTGGTTTTTTTGGCGCCGGTCATTGTAATGGGTGACCGTTCAAATATCATCGCGATTTTGGATGAAGTTGTATGCATGGCGCACTCCCAGTAATCTTAAGCCCATTCTACTTCTGTTTATAGAGATTGCTTTTGCAATAATCCCTTCATAATGGTGCTTCGAATCTTCCAGATTGTCGTCCAAATTGACGCTACTGCTACCTGATTAACTTCCTTTTTTTCAGAGTTACAGCTCCGATAACGGAGCTCCTGGCATGATTCATGGCTACGGAAGAGTCTTTACTCAATCGCTCTGGAAAGGGCTTAAGAAAACGAACGCTTATGGAGGGAAGCGCCATGTTTGCAGTGACGTGATCAAGGGAAAGACACATGTTCTCTTCCTTCACATGGGTCAGCCACGATCTGAATACTACGCAAAAGAATATCTACAAAAGTCCGCCTATGCTTTTTATCAAATCCCCAAAAAGCTTGAAAGGTAGGTGGTTCTCTATTACACAAGAATTTTTTCCTTTTTTCAATTATAAAACTGTTTGCGTGGTTGTGGACATAGAATCAGGCAGTTAGCCAAGCTTAAACGATTCGTAGCCTTGCTACTACTGAGACTTGCTGAGAAATTCCCACTTTGCATCCTCCCAGTTTAGTTTGAGATGTCACATTTGTTGTGGTATTCCGTGTCATTCCGTTTTAGTAGTAGTCCTAACAGTCTTAGGGATTCCATTCTAACCCCGTTTTCTACTATTTGACAGATCGTTCGTAAAAACCGAGTTTTCTTAGCTCGCATCGTCCATGACCAGCTTAAACAATTCTTCTAACTGCTTCGGCAAGAGTAGCGTTTTCGAGGGTTACAATCTCGGCTCCCTCTTCCCACCCTACTGGGCCAAATATAGTTGGCGTTTTGTTCGAAAAAGCAATTGAACAGCAATTCAGTTTGTCATATCCTTTTCCCATGACTTTAGTAAATCCCAACTCTTCTCTAATCCCTTATGCCACTATGTGGAGAGCGAATCCTTCAATCACTGCAACATTCAAACTATGTTGTTCTAAGTGTCGATAGAGAGTTTTGGTCATCGTTCAATCGCAACAGAATTGCTCTTCTTACAGGTATATTCCAATGGTTTTCCTCCTGAATGGGAAAGTCAAAGATTCAATAGCGAAATACGGAGAAGCGGGTTGCATTGAAGAGCCTCTTACTACTTTTACGAAACGAATTCAAGGAAGTCTGAATACGATTATGCCAGAATTTGGATCTATTTCTTGCTCAACCGCCTTTCTTTTTGATGACCCCTCGATTGATAAGGAGCTCGTGAAAATAGGAATGTAAGTCATCTTTGATCTATATTCATTTCTTTTTTTGGTGTATGTTAACAGCCCATTTTGTCTGCATATCATCTTGTAGCCTGTCCCTGCGATTTTGAAAAAAGTGAGTTTTATTACTGCTCTATGACGGTCTTGTTAAAGTAGTTCTTGCATTCTCTTTTCCCTGAGGGTTTCTATATAGGTTGGTTTGTAGAGCGCGCTTAAAACTTGCACTGCACAGTTCAATTGGAGAGCTCACAAAATGGATTTCGGCTATAAAAGGGCTTGTTGACTTCCATCAAAAGTAGAAAGATGATGAAGGAGGGCCGCAAATCTGCTTTCTACTAGGAGATTGCCGGGATGCTGTAAAAATCTATAATCTTTTGAAGCTTCTGATTTAGTTAACGAGTTCGCTGCGTTTGGACGCCGAAGAGTTTTTTTTTTCAATGTGGCCACTAAGTCATATGGAAAACTGGCATCAAATCGTTTCAGGAACGGCTACAACCATATAGTTGTATTCCCACTGTATCCACATTACTCATGCACACGATCTGGATTTCTACTCAACGAAATCGAACGAGTTTTGCAAACATTCACCGTCCCAGCCACCATAGATGATCGTGAAGTTCCATGTGAGCGTATCGTGCCAAATTCAAGCAGCTCATTCCATGTGTCTGCCTTGCATCGATGGGGCAATCATCCCATCGTAAGCGAAGTGCGTTATGTGGTTGTGGTTAAGCATTCTGCCTGACCTGAATCAGGAACATTTCTTTGAACGCTTAGTGACACTGTACCTATTGCAGTATTGGCTCGACATCCTTCAAAATCACCGTGATGAGATCGGCGGTGTTGTGTTCTGCGCTCCATCTATTGTTCGTTTTTTCATGTCTTTCTTACTATATTTTTGGGTTTCTGATATATTCTTTGACGGATGTAGGTGTCAAGATTAAAATTATGGTAACTGGGGTAAGGGCAAGAGCTACCTCTGGGATCGTAAAATCAGACTTCACAAGTACAGGCGTGAGCCCTTCCCATTTCATTACCGTTTACTCAAAGCTCTACTTACTCCTCTCTTTATTCACCCATCTGATCTGTTCGTTGAAACTGTAAACTTTCAAAGTACAGTATCAGTGAGAGGACAGGGAGTATCCATAACATGTTTGTTTGATAATTGGTGTTTCCTCTATTTTTATTATTCTTTTAGTATAACTTCACCATGCCTAGCCTTTAGCCAAGTAGTTAACGGCTATAGAAGCTTCCCATGGCTAGATAAGAAAGAACTAGGAGATCTGCTTCACTGGAGTAAGGCTACTAATTGTTAGTGATTTTTTCTGTTCTACATATGCTTGCACGAGCTTCTTCTGATGTTTCAAGCTTTGTGATCTCTATAATATTGAAGTTCGCTGACTCTATGCACTAGAAGGTGAGATTCTGTTTCAGCGAGGCTACAATAGTGAAACCTACCGACGATCCGTATGGTCGACTTGTGAACGTATCATGGCTGGATTAGACGACAGTTTTCCGTGGCGGCTAAGTTTCTTCAATGCATGGGACCAATGGGATCTACCGGTTGTGGATTCCATCAAGGCCCAGGTACTAGATTGATAAAATATGACATATCCTTTTTTCATTTTTTTATCCAAACTTTCAGACAAAGCGGCTCAATTCTCTTATCCCTCCCGGAAAACAAATAGCGCTAGTTCCTGTATCTTCTATACTTCCCGATTTCAATACATTTTCCGTGTTACCTAACATCGCTACGTCTTTGGTGAGTACGATGGTTGCAGTTGGTAAACATTTCAACCTTTCTGGTTTATGGAGTAGAAAAGACAGTTTTATAATGGTTGCAAAATAAATCAAATTCATAAATTGCATTCATAATGTTTATGAGTACAGTTTTTTATCTCATAAAAATTATTGAACTTGTTAAAGCCTATGTAGGAGCATGAATTCTTGAAAATTCTCTAACCATTACAAATCAAGGTAGTTTGCAGGATTACATTTCTTTCTCCGCTATCAAGTTTTAGCATTACGATTTCTTTTTGTCGAGTGGTACCAAGGGCAAGTGATAGCTTTCAATATACTTCGTTCGAAATTGAACTGGAGGAATCCTTACCAAACAGGGCAGCCAAGGGAACTAAATGATCTTATTTATTTATTTATTTAGCGGACATGTTGTAAACATGTGAAATGAGGAAAATAACATGACCATGATCTGTTGATCTATTTGCTTTACATGCTCATTAGCAATGCTGTTGTCATGCCAGCTCTGCTTCTTCAAGGCTTGAGCAATGTATCATACAGTTCGATTCAACAACCGTTGTTGTACTCATCATTATTGATTCCGTGGAATGCACGGTATCCAAACCCTTCGATAGAGCAGACTATCACTTATTTAATGAGACACGTTTGCCGTTGCAACCAACGCCATCCGCCACTGTTGGCTCAGCGCACGAGTCATGTGCGCGGCGATCGATATTTTTTGTACTTTCTCATATCACGGTTAAAAGTGTATCACAAAATTATGTGTCTTTCTTCAATCTTTCACTTATCGACTGGTTAACGCTATCACATGGATTGCTTGATAGATAGTCTTGCATCACAGCTATCGGTTCATAACTTGTTTTCACTGCTTTTTTGTATTTGTTCGAGTCTTCATTTCATTCATCTCTGAATTGGTCGGTGAATTTCTTTTTTTACTTGCCTTCACCTCTGTTAATAATAATTCGGAGTCGGACAGATGAGCCTCATACCATTCCTAGTCCTAGAGTGACGTAACAAGCATACACTGTATCGATTACCGCACGCGGAACCCACGCGTCACGTCAGTGGAGATGCAGGCGGGCAGATCCGATTGGCCACATTGCGAACTATAAAGGCTGTTCTAAAGGAGTCGTTTTGTTGTTATACCACGTTCATTATCGAAAAGCATGACATCATTGTAGCAACATTTTACCAACAACATGTTAGACAGCTAATTTCACACTACAATTTTTACCTTGACAGCTATCCGTCAATGTAGACGTTTCTCCATGTGACTGTGATTCATCTGTACTACTTCCCGTGGTCATTCGTCAAGAAATCCATGAGAAATGTGAATTTTATCGTCAACAAATTCTTGTTTTCAGGAGAAAGTGGTGCTAGTACAACCTCGAGTCGACAATCCGTTGTTGATACAAGGCGTGGTGGAGGTAATCAAAAACCATTTGCTAGGCCGAAGAGACGCTCAACTACGAGATCGATGTGATTGGTGTATTAATAAGCAGTGTGAATTCATGCGATATACGCTCATTGATAGCTGACCAAATGTATAGATTGTATGTAGAAATCTCGTTTTTNTTTTTCATAGGGTTTTTTATGCCTTCTAGGAACATAAGCGTGAGAATTGAATGATTTGAGTCTCCCACAGCTACTGCTATCAGCTGTGATTCACCCACAGCTCTTGTTTGGCCAGACAGATCGAGTCACGAGCTCCCAGCTCCCGGTGTGTGCCTGGCCACCACCACGTGTCAGATACTGGACCGACTACAGTATCCCCAGATCGCGGCAAACACGCTCATGTGCTATACTGGCGCAGTTTCTGTGTGCGCTGGTGCGCGTTTCGTGTCATTTCGTTCTGCGAATATTTTAAAGAGATGAGTAGTTTTGTTTATTAAGAAAAGCATTGTTTTCATTTATTGATGTCTACAATGAGTATAGATAATGAATATGATGTTTAGAATAGTGTATGCGATGAATTGAACAGTTTAGAATATTGAATGTGTGTGATGTGCGCGACAGAAAAAGTAAAGCGATTAGTCAGCCCGTGACAATTATTGAATTTTCATCACGCACCGCATTGCTATTGATTGATGCTTGCTAGTACGCTTATTATTTCTCTTCGATATCATACTGTTAACTATTTCTTATATCGCTCCTGTTTATGCTTTCCTAGTCAAGGATACATTGATCGCAGTGATCCCCCTAGCCCTCTGAGTTCCCGTCACTTCTTTTTTCTTTTATGGAAAATCTTAGAACGTTCGTCGAGAAATGCTTCTTTGTTAGAATGTTCGTATTATTGCCGATCCGAGCGTGAATTTTACGTAACATTAGACCTACAACAGGTCCAAGGGGTCTATTCTATGCATAAAAAGTCCAATACTTGGTTTTGAAGAACAAAAAGCTGGCCTGCCGATATTTCCATGATAAAATACGAGGAATTCCTTAGCTAAATGAAACTTCAGTCATTTTCGCTAATGTAGTTTGCAATGAGTGCATCGCAGTTTTCAGAGCTTTGCTTGCTTTCCCAGAAAAACCTTCCACCCGGTTCAGTGCGCCGATGTCTGTCGCACAATAGTTTCAGTCATTTCTGAAAGAAACTCCAATTTCCGGAGTTTCTGCTGATTAATGTACTTTGACCTTGATTTGAGCAGATTTCTTCTTGAAAAGTTCGTTCGATTTGTATAGTGTATCGGTTGTACGGCACACATTTCGTATGAGTAGCTGAATATGAGGCCTTTTACATCGAATAGGGCAACTTTATATGATGAAAACCATTGCTGTAAAGGTGGTTAGGAGCAGCCAGTAGGCAGGCGGCTCGACGGCAGGGTATACAGTCACTGTTCTGGCTTCATTTTGGCCACGGTCATGGCTTACGGTTTCGAAACATCAAGTTACAAAGTATTCAACAAAGCTGCTCACACAGCTATTGCTGACGAATTGCTGATAGCTGCGCGAGCACATTTGTTAACTGCTCGTTTTTATTTCGACCTGGGTATGTTTTAGTTAAGTACGTGACAGGCATCGAACCATTGAATTGTGGTGGGCCTCGGCTTAGGACCAACAAAAATCAGGTTTTCTTACCCGTTCTGATCCTTCGTTTTCTGGCTAGAATCTGCGCCTACTTGGAACCGTTGTAGGTCTAATAATGAGATGAAATATGTTGTTGATTTTATGAATTTAGTGATACGGTTGAAAATCAATTCGCCTTGTCCACACCCTCAGAATTTGAGAACACTTGGTGAGTTTCATGACACATTTTTCATCTTCTGTGTACCGTTGGTATGTGCGTAGTATGACAGCTGTCAGTGTAGGCCAAATGTTGGCCGCAACGAGTTTGTTCGAAGTTTTAAGATCGTTTTTCAAGTTCCATGTTTTGGTTTCTTTTCATTGTTCTGTTTATGTGCCTATATATGCTGTATATATAAAAATACTGCCATTGTATGTATCCGTACGGTCTTAGTTTATCTTACTGCAAAACTTTTTTGAAGGCAAAATGGCGGGCGGAGGGGAGGAGCACGCCGCGCACTCATCCGTGCAGGATGATGCGAAAGATTCCGAATCGGACGGCGATGCAGCTGAAGATGTCGGTCCTTTTAAGTGCTTTTTTTATTCCGATTGAGTTGTTTCTAAATAGGTACATATTCATAGATTTTGGAAGAGTCTCCCTGCAAGCGATGGTCAAAACGACGAGAGCAAGTGAAGCAGAGAGATGTCCCTGGAATAGATGTCGCATACTTAGCGATGGATAACGAGACGGGTAAGTCCTATCCGAACCTTACGGAAAAGTGATGTCATTACAATATGCTATTTTATTATTGTCATTACAGTATGCTACTTTATGAGCAAGTCAGAAACAGCTGGCCAGGCATATATACTTTGAAGGATATTTGTTACTGAACTCATTTTTTCAGGAAACGAAGTAGTATGGAATGAAGTGCAATTCTCCGAGCGTAAAAATTTCCGCGCCCAGGAGGTTCGTTCTAAATTTTTTACGAGTCCATATTGAGATGACTGCAGCGATAGCGCTTCTAACCGATCTTTTTAAAATCATTTTCACATAAGGGAGCGGTATCAAAAAAACTAGATATAACTGTTTTAGAATTAATCGCTCTCAAGAATTATATCAGCGGTCATTCGAAAGAAAGGATTTCTGCATTTTCTTGGGTCCCGATTACTGGAGAGCTCGTAACTTTGCGTTTGGCAGAAGCTGTTCGTGTTTCTAATCTTTTCGAGGAGGGCCGCATCACATACAAACTTTCTGAAGTTTTCTGTCTTCGAAGTCCAAAAAATCTCATTCCCAAACCATGTGGGAGACGTTTTTGTAGGTACCGTGCTTGTGGTCTGCTTTTCTATCTTTAAGGCTTGATCAAGGGTGCTGTTTTCATTTTTCGGAGGCCTGAAGTGGTTTTATTTTAAAGAATCGTATATTCACAGTTTGAATTGTGAAACCAAAAATTGTGAGTCAAGGATTAACCGTTCTTCGTGTTAAGTATTTTTTGTAGGAGAAGATCAATGCGGTCTTCGACAATCTTACTCAACTCGTACACACAAACCTTGTGAAGTTCCATAAATATTGGACGGATGCGAAGTCGGAGAAGCCTAGAGTAAGAGTTTATGCAGAAGTTCCTTTTTCTTTCATTCAATTGAATTACAATTTCAGATTATATTTATTACGGAGTATATGTCATCGGGGTCAATGTCTTTATTTTTGCAACGTACACGAAAATCTGGATCTCCGCTAAGCATTAAGGTTCGTAACTTTTTGCTATAACTTCTAAACAGCTTGTTGCAATAAATTTCCTCGTTTTCTTTAAAGTATATAGTAACAAGCAAAGAGAATCTGTAGCGACCCTGATGGGTATTCTTCCTTTCATCATTTCCCTACATTTCAGAAGATTTGTAATGTTACCTGATAAGAACCCTTCTGATATAGGTATATCATAATGGAAATCAATAAATTTGCCTTTAATGGATTCAGAAGATGTTTATCAGGAAATTTTAGGCGTGGAAAAAGTGGACAACTCAGATATTATCGGCACTTAACTATTTGCATTCATGTGTGCCACCGATCACTCATGGAAACCTTACCTGCGATACAGTGTTCATTCAACAAAATGGACTTATAAAAATTGGATGTGGTAGGTTAATGATGGAACATTTCTGCAGGACCGAATGAAAATGTGCTTCGTTTTACTGTTCCTCGCTTACAACTCTTACATTTGGGTAATCCTCTGTTCGTCCGTTGATTAGTAGCCGGTCAGCATCTAGTCGATCTCGGGCTAAATTGCTCGTCGTCAACTAGTACAGGCACGTTGTTCTGTTGCCTCCCACACAGAAATGAAAATGACCATCGAGAGTGCTACAGATCCAAACAAATGTCTGTTACGGGTCTTCCCCTGTTTGTGTTTTCCTACAGAACAAAGTTGTCCGGGTTGTGCTGTACCACTTAATTTATCATTAGGTCAATGCCACTGCACCACTTCAATGGAAGAGAAGACACATTTCCCGCAAGGCTACATAACTTTTGTGATTTCATCGGGCAAGTATTGGGTCGTTCTATAAGTTTCCCTTACGCTTTTTCACAATTTAACATTTTCTATTCTTTTCTGTGCAGTAATTCAATAATACTTACATAAAAATCTTTTATCCAGGTTTATCTTTCCTTGTTTCGTTAAATCTGTTTCGTCAAATCTTTTTTGGGTAACTGTAGGCGCTCGTAAGTTGCAGAAATCCGGGTCTTCGTGAGTCCCAATCACCCATATAGCCCAAGATGTCATGAGAAGGGCAACCGTATTCGGAAAAGGTGTAAAGAAACTTATTGAACTACTACAATCCAAAAATACTAATTTGGCATGCGCTTTTTCAATTCATACTTTTTGTTTGAGAGCTTAAAAGGAGCTAAGCTAGCAATGGTTGCCCAAGTTACCTCAAAATCTGCGTTTTTATAAGTTGCTGTCATTTTGTTGTGGAACATGACCCTGTGTCGACATTCTGAGTACATTTTGTTCAATTTTTAGTAGCTCCCGATGCCATCAATCATCATGTGAAGACATGCCGTGATAATTTGAAGAATATGCACTACATGGCACCGGAATATGAATGTGAGTCACCAAGATTTGCAAGATTTGCGAAATAAGGAAGGCCTGAGCAGGCGAGATCCCGGTATTGTATGCGAGAAAAAGTGCAGTATCCACAAAGCACGAGTATGGGTTCAAGGCCCGTTCAAAGTCAAAGTTTTGCTCACAACTCGCCAATCTTGTGAGAAGTTCGCGCTGCGGTGAAATTATAGCGAGCAGCGAAGGACAATCAAGGCAGTCACTCTCTGCTTAGTATAAGCGTTAAGCAGGGTTTTCTTTTCTTGTAAAATGTGAAATTTTCGAGCTCGTAAAAAAACATTTGCAAAAGCCCGTTTGCGAATTTATTTGGGTTTTTTTCCACCTTCATACTTTCCAAATTGCAGACTGCACGGAAGTCACTCCAGCTGCTGATATTTATTCATTTGGCGTTTGTGCCGTCGAGGTAGACATTGATGAATATTCATCTCGTTTGCTTATGTTAAAGATAGAATTTTTATAGATAGCTGTGATGGGTGGTTTGTCTGGGTGTCAAAATGGAGCAACTGATGGACCCATCAGTCGAGAGAGCATAGAGAAAGCCGTTCGGTCTTTGGAAGATGAAAAGCAACGGGTAAGGTCTACTTGTTCTCTTTTTCTTTTTTAATTTGAAATCAATTTGTTGTTCTCTACCTACATATAGTACCTTATTTCCAGGATCTCATTCAATTATGTCTCCAAAAGGATCCGTTAAAAAGACCATCAGCACGGCAATTGCTTTTCCATCCAGTCTTATTCGAGGTTAGCGATTCAAAAATATCAAGGTTCTCTATAGCAGCTAGCTTTTTTCCACATTCACTAGGCGTTCCTTCTCGCACTTACCTTTGGGGAAATATTCTTCCAACTCATATTCCGAACTTCGCTTTTGTGAATAGTGCCTGTCGCTTTCTTGGTGTCCGTTTGATGATCACTTGTTGCCCCTGTTAAACAGTGGCCGATCGAGAGTCCTCTTGATATGACCTTACTGTTCACCTCCCAAACCTCCTCCTGAGCAGACTGAGTCGTACTGTCAATTGAATTAGTTTGAGTGGTGATCTTTTTGAGTTGGTCAATTCAACTCTGCAGTATGGCCATGATTCGGGCTTGGTTCGAAGTGAAGGTGGGCTTCAATCTGTATTTGACCTGCAACACGACTTACTGTTTCGATTGGTGGCTTAATCTATGGATCACACGGGTGCAGGTGCTGTG